TGAAGTCAAAGTCAACTACAGATGACTACATTGTTAAATCAATGTCATTGACTTGAATCGCTCTTTGGAGGAGACTGTGATAGAATGACAGCAAGTCACTGAGAAGCTTTAATGGGTTTGCATTTTCAAGCTTGAACATCTTGTTTATTCTGTTTGCATCCTGCAGGACAGGCTGAAGGAAAAGGAGATACAATTTGTTCACTGGGTCAGCACACATTTGATAGAGGAATTCAGCATTGTAGTTTCTTTCTTTATCCTTCGCAAGTTGGAAGTGGAATTTCAGCTCTTCATATTGCTCAATCACTCTATTTATGCATGCACTGATAGACAACCACCTTGTGTCAGAAATTTGGAGGATTTTTAGTGGAGCTTCACCAACATTTTCTTTCCTCTGATTAACTCCAGAGTCCAGACTGTAACTGCCACTCAGCCTGTACTGGTTTGGTAGGTAAATATCTTTAAATACTCAATTAAAGGCCCTTCACAGCCCCTCTGGCTCAGCTCACAGTGGCTCACAGCTGTACACTCAAGTGTTCTCAGAAGCACTGTTTAAAAGAACATTAGAATAATAACCTTATTTCAATAAACTATAAAGTCAGCCTGAACCACTGTGGTTACTTGACCCCTAGCATTTGCTTGGTGAACCAAAAGCAGAACTCTTGTCAAATGACCCAAGCCTGGCACAGAAAGACAGGAAAAGAGAAGCCAAGATAGCCATTTTTAGAGAGAGACTTCTCTGTAAGATTCTTTTCTAAAACTGGGAGATTTCCCACTCCCCCTCCCACTTTTTTTTTGTTCAGCACCTTGATTTGCTTTAAATTTATTTCCATAAGAGGCTTCTCTCACTGCCAAACAAGGTGCATGAGACCTTTGTACAGAAAGGATCAGAAGCTTGAGCAGCCCCTGATGTTGCTCTCTGCCTGCCTACACCTCTACTTGAACAGCTGAGTGTGTGTTACTGCTCAACTCTTCCTCCAGCTGCAAAAAAAGCACCTTTCCCCAACAGCAGTGGAGAAGTACCAAGTTTGCTCGGGCAAAGAGAATAGCCACACCACCCCTACCTCATTGTCCCAGGCAGCTGAGCAAGGAGCTCAGGACTGGGGCTCAGGACCAGGACCACAACCAGGACCTGCCCCTGCCCCTGCTTCATTACCTTGGGCAGCAGATGCCAGGACTAGGCTGGGACCAGGCAGGGGATGGGGTAGGGCAGGGAAGCTATGGGGGTTTCTCCCATGGCTCCCCCCTGGGGCAGAGGCAGGTACAGCCGGAGGAGCCACAGGAGAATCTGCCATGGCTGCCCTGGTCTGCCCTGCCCAGCTCTCTACCTAGAGGGACCTCAATCCCCCTCTTCTCCCCACTTACTTGCTGGAGCTGCCTTCAAGGCTGCCTGGGGCTATGTGCATGTATTGTCTGTGCATGCGGCATGGCGCCCCCTGGCACACCACTTTCCTTTAGCTTCCTCCCAGCAGCTCCCTGCACAGGCTGAAAGTCTGCCAGCCTGCAAATTATGTCAATAAAAAAACCCGTGGCTGAAAAAAAACCGCAGTCACATTTTTAAAGTAGCCCAATTTGGCGGGAAAATAGCGTACCTGGCAACTCCCTCACCCACTCTGTCACTTCCTCTTCCTTTGTTCCCAGGCCCTTGGAGCTTCTGGGAGTTGTAGTCTAAATTACAGTCAGCATAGTAATTAATTAAAAAAAAACTGCTCCCCCTGCTATCATACACTTCATATTCGCATAACATTCACATTATGGTAGAGCAGCTACCATTGCTCAAAACACAGGATATGAGAGTGCTACAACCAGCAACTAACTCACCTACCTTACTGCCTCACCGCACCACAAGTGATCATGAATGATGGTGCTCAGGGACTGTGGTGTGGAGAAAGTCCAGAACCAGCTGAGGGAGAAGCCAAAGCTTGAAGTACTCATCTTTGTGCCTCAAGAAACATGCCACCAATTTTGGTTTAGGTACTGTGTTTGATAGGGAGAAAGGCCAGGGGTGTTCTCACTGACACAGAGGGTCTTGGGCTTGCACTGTAAGTTTGCACTTATCTTGAGTAATAAACCACTAGTTTTCTCTCTGCTCTGTTGCCTAACTCCAGGGCCACCCCCTTTCTCACTTTCCTGCTTACCACTGTTTACAATAAAATGATTTAATTTTTCCTAAAGAGCAGTGTGCATTACAATGAAAGCCAGGGCTGAACTTTCACACAGTAAGAGTGGGGATGAGAAGGAGAGGGGTAGGACTGGTTGAGTGACAGGAATATGGACATTGATTGGTGAGTTGTGCAATAGAGAGGAGGGTTTGGGGCTTGGGCAAGCCACCATAATCCTCAGCACAATGCCCAAGGCCTTATTTCAAGTTTTGGGCTTGAAGCCAGGCAGAGCTAGAAGAGACCTGGTAGCCGCTGTTCAACCATCAGGCTGAGCGTGCAGGGACTGAAGAGGGTGTCAACAAGACTGACATAATTGTCCTTCAGTTGAGGGTGGGCGGAACATAGTATAATAACTGTGTGATCTTCATTGTAGATGCACCTCCATAAAACAATGAACGGTTTTAATCTCTCAATTCAAGTGAGTGGTCTCCACACACCTGAAATGGAGTGGAATATGGAGAGGGGGAACAATCACTTGCAATAGAATGAATCTTGGTAAGGTGGCAGACACCTGGCCCACCCCCAGAACATATATCCTCCATGACATGCACAAACGTACTTTACGTACTTTATGTACAAACGTAAAGGAGGTATCCGTGTGTTTCTTCAAGCTGGCTGGATCCCTGGGACTGGGATGACTGGAATCTGCTTTGCTGGGAGCAAAGGTGGGAAGCAATGGGGAAGCTTGTGCAGGCAGGTATGGACTGTGAGCCCATTGGGTTGGGGATCCCAGTGAGGGGCAATAGGGGCAGGCAGGATTTTGCAGATGGGGAATGGACAGAGGACATGGGATGGTTGCTCTCTGACTACAGGCTCAGTTTACTTGCCCATGTCATGCCCTGAAGATATGCAGAGTCCTTGACCTGCAACAGCTCAATGGCTGTTTACTAGGTCTGAGCAGTGGTGGGCTCAGATGGCGGTGTGTGTCTGTAGTGGTTTGCTGCCTCTGGCCCTCTTCAGTTAGGCTTTTGCTCCCTGAGTATTTCTCAGCAAGCCTCAGTAATACCAAGTCTTTTAAACTCACTGGACTTTGCTCCCTGGGGTGACTCTCAGCATGCCCCAGTAATAGGTAGTATTTTAACAAATAAAGCAAGAAAGTAAAAAAAACATACCTTACTATCCTGGATACCAGGAGGGGTCCAATGTCTCTCCAGCCTTCTCACAACAGGCTTGCCCTCCTCATAGCCCAGAAGTTTCCTGCCTCTGTTTCTTCTTTCCACACCTCCCTCCCATTCTGCTTGCTGGGGTTTTTGACACCCAAGAAGCCACTCTCTCATTAGCTTTCATACAGCTGTAGGTTAGCTGCCTTCTCTTAAGAGAACAGGCCACCCTACCAGGTAGGCTGCCCCTACCATGGTAGCATCAACATCCACATTTCTGTCCCTTGCGATGCATGTCATCTCTATGTAATATCAGGACTGCACAATTCTTTCCCTTATGAGCATATGGGACAGCCACTTGCAGTAGGCACACATGGCCCTGCATGTGCTGAAAATGAGCTTGATATGCCAGGCCCTCAGGTAACACTGCTCTGGCATGTTGTATTTCAAGTGGCATTGTTGCTAGTGGACTACCCAGTACCAGTTTATGCTGGGCTCAAACATGGAAATGGCTGAGAGGGGGAGTGGGGGCAAGACTTCTGGTGGGGATGTTCTCTCAGGACATGCCTGAGGTGGCTCATGTTCACAAACCCAATGCTGACCTCAAGTGCATGGCTGATGAGCACAAAATGCCAGCAAGTCACCAAAATGGGGCTTAAATGGCTGGGAGTGGTGCATTGTGGGATGCCTGGAAGACCACCTGGCTCACTTGCCCCAGGACAATGGTCTAAAAACCATACAAATGCACTTTGCAATGTCCTGGGATAAAGTGTTACCACATTTTGCCCCACATACATCAGTGGAGGTTGTCTTGGGATGGCAGCCATGGAAGCATGTGCACTTTCAGTTTGGTCCAAGACAAAAAGGTTTCTCCTGCCTGTTCAAACCCTCACAGTTCAGAAAAGGTCTTTCTTTTTAATCTATTCTTGCAGACATATTTTTCACTTGTCATTTCCTTAGTGGTTAGGAGATAAGAAGTAATGAACAGATCAGTGATGCTTCTAGCGTTCAGGAAACTATTCAGTAGTCATGAAAAGCCCTGACAGTGTAATCCTGGCATCCAGCCCTGCAAAGAGTGAAGACCTTTCTCTGATTAGATCTGAAAGGACTCCAGCACTAAGACACTGTGCAGGGAATGGCAAGGAAACACTTGGCTCCTGGATAAGCAAGTACAGCACAAGAGATCATCATACATGGATCCTTTAGTGGGTATCACAAATTGTGATGACAAGACACTGAAGCTGTGAAGATAATCTACTTCAGCCCAGGGTCCCCTGGACACCAAGGTGTGAGAGGCCAGGAGGGTAAGTGTTCTAGAAGGAATATGTGTCTTTGCCACCATGAAGGAAGACATGTGGCAGCTCTCTCCGTTTTTCTCCTCCAGATCTCTGTCAGCTTTGAACCCCAAATACTTCCCTGTGCCTTGCCTTCTTTATACAGGACTGATGACTCATCACATTTTCTCTTTCTCCCCATCTCCCTCTTCCAGCCTACCTTCATGTGTAATTAATTCTCTATTGATGATGGGTGCCCGCGCACCTGACTTGTCTCTGCTTGAAAATTAATTCTCCCTGGACCATTATCTCCCACAGTGTTTCTCGTTCACACTCAGAGGCACATGAGTCATCCAGCCACAGCTGGGAATGTCAAGGCACTTGATGATGCCGTCTCTTCTGATATAATAGGTTCTTCTGAGAGAGAGAGTAACCAGGAGAGACTGCCATCCTGAACTGGAGCTTTCATGATGACAGAGCTGAACACAACATCTACAGAATCCAGCCTGGGGCACAACAGTACACATAATGGGACTCACTGTGAACCTCTTTCACCTGAAATGACAAAGGACATTGCCACGCTGCTTATCTGCCTGTTCGGTCTGGTGGGGAATGGGATTGTTCTGTGGTTCCTTGGCTGCCGCATGAAGAGGAACGCTTTTACTGTCTATATTCTAAACTTGGCTGTCACGGACTGTGGATTCCTGCTCGGTCTATCTGTTGTTCTCATAATTTACATAACTGAATATTTCATTTGTGAACTTTTACCATATGATAATTTAAAACATTCTTTATTATTATTGAGTTTATTTGCATATAGCACTAGCTTATATTTCCTGACAGCCATCAGCATTGAGAGGTGTCTGTCTGTCTTCTGCCCCATCTGGCACAAAATCCACCGTCCTAAGCACTTGTCTGCTTGTTTGTGTGCCCTGCTGTGGACCTTCTCATCCTTCATAATTGGACTTTGCTTAATTAGTTGTTTTTATGGTGGGAACAACATTTGTCAGATGTCATTGAGTGCGATTTTGCTTTTGAATTTCCCAATTATAACTCTCATTATGATTATTTCCAATCTGATCTTGTTCATTAGGATTCAATGCGTCTCACAGCAACATCAGCCAGGAAGGCTCTACATCGTTATCCTGCTCACTGTCCTATTCTTCCTCCTATTTGCTGTTCCCTTAAGTGCTTTTCTGTTTTTTGGAATGCATGGTATGTTGGGCCCTGATATAGGTCTCCTGTTGGCTTCTGCCAATAGCAGCATCAACCCTGTTATCTATTTCCTTGTTGGAAGCTATAGGAAGCGGCGGTTCGGGCGCTCTGTCAAACTTGCCCTCCTGAGAGCCTTTTATGAGAAAGAAGATTGTAGAGAGGTAGGTGAAATCCACATAGCTGAGACAATGCAGACAGCCACTTAAATTCCCAAAAAGCTAGCCTGCAAGAGGAAGTCCTGGGGATGAAGTTTTCCCCTTATTTAGAGAGTCCAAGATATCAGAAATGTGAAAGATCTAACAGGTTGGTCCCTACGTTACTCCCCACCACCATCCTCAGCAAAATCCTTCTCCCAAGTGGTGTTTTCACTTTTTAAGTAACTAACAAGTCACAGAAGGCCTGAGCCTATTTGTTTCGAATCGGTGAGAAAATCCTACTGATTTCTTGGAATCAAGGATAAGTCTAAAGGAGCCTGATGGACTTTGTTGGATAAATTATGCCAGCAACAACATGTAAGTTCAGGATTTTTTGAACATTCTCCCCATGTAGACCTAATTTGTTTTCTTGCCTAGTGTTCTTGTCTTCTTTAAAATACTTTGTGTCAGTAACTCCAGAAAACTCCAGGTTTTTCCCTTTAGGCTACTGCTGTCATGCATCCCTTACAATAGGAGCGACTGTGCTGTACTGGAGGCAATTGAATGAAGTGCACTGGGAACAGGCTGAGGAAGTAAACCGACATTTGCTTTGCCAGTCACTGCATGCATTGGACTGCTGTTTCTGCATTCTTCATCTTCACACTTTTCCTCCCATGGAGATGTGACTGCCAGTGTATAGCAGTCTCTGAAGCCATGAAGACTGCCTCTTCATGGCTAGGAGGTCAAGGGTTTTCTGACAGGTTTCAGTCAACTGCCTTGTCCATTAGGATACCTTGCATGCCTATCCCTAGGCAATTGCACATATTCTTTCTGTGCTTCAGTTCACTTCACAGGAGATGCTGGAGGATTACAGGAGATGCTGGAAGATTTAAATATCATCTGTCTGAGCTTGTGTCTGCCTCATCAGAGTTGGTGGCCCAGCGCTGGTCCCAGGCAGCAGAGGCAGTGTCCTCTCATCCAGTGTGCAGATCTGGGGGCTTACATCCCCAGGAGGAGTCCAGCACAGCACAGAAGCCCTCCTGGGGGTGTGAGCCCCTGGATCTGCACTCCGGATGAGAGGAGGCTGCCTCCACCACCTGTGACCAGTGCTGAGTGTGGGCTGCACCCAGGCAGCAGTGGCAGCGGCAGTCTCCTCTCATCCAGAGCACAGATCTGGGAGATTGCACCTCCAGGAGGAGTCTGGCACAGCCTGGCAGTCCGCCCAGGGGTGTGAGCCCCCAGATCTGTGCGCTGGATGAGAGGAGGCTGCCACTACCACCTGGGCCCAGTCTGTGCCCAGCACTGGTCCCAGGTAGCAGAGGCAGTCTCCTCTCATTCAGGGTGCATATCTGGCTGATCACACCCCTGGGAGAGCTGCTGGGCTCAGCTGGACTCCTCCCAGGGATGTGAGTCCTCAGATCTGTGTACTGGATGACAGGATGCTCCCTTTGTTACCTGGGACTGGTTCTCACTGCAGCCCATGCTCAGTGACAGGGAAGATTGCTGCTGCCGTCACCGGTCCCAGGTGGCAGCGGCAGCTTCCTCTCATCCAGAGCAGAGATCTGGGGGCCCACACCTCTGGGAGGAGTCTGGCACAGCCCCACAGCCCTCCTGGGGTTGGGCCCAAGATCTGTGTGGTGGATGAGAGGAGGTTGCTGCTTCCACCTGGGACCGACGCTGAAGCCAAGTAAGCCTGGCTTTGAAACTCAAAATGTTTTGAAACTTTTGAAACATTTCAATTGCCCTCATTTCATTTTAAAGCTGTTTCAAAGCCTTTTGTTTCATTTCAATTTCGCTGTTTCAAGCTTGAAACGTGTTGAAACAGCTGCAAAATGAAACACCCGGCAAAATTTCGCACAGCCCTACTATGCATTGGCTAAGTTGAAGAAAGTGATCATTTGATGGTAACATTAGTTTGTTATTTTCTCTCATAACTATCCACAGGAAATGGTAGTGTTGAAGTGATTACTCTAGCCATAATAGTCCAGGAAATGTGAGAGGGAAAGATATTTGGAGGTTGGGGTGATATGTATTATTGGAGCAACTGCATGGTTGGGAGAGTGTGATCTGAAGATCAATGCTTTGAACTCAAAAGCTGGATCTTTTGGTCCAAGAAAAGATCTCATTCCCGCCCCCCAAATCTTAACCTATGGAAAGGTGAATTACCACCACTGTAGAGTCTCCCTTAGTCACCTTTGGCTTTTCCCCCCTTGCTTCCCCCCTCCCCCTTCCCTGCTTTACCTTTTGTTTTCCTAATTTCTACCTATTTACATTCTCAATAACATCCTGTTACACTTTTAGCTTCTTTCATTCCTTGGAGTCTCAAAACAGCAGAGACATCCTATGCATGAAGAAGGATGACTACACCCAAAAGCTTGCTAAGAAGTACTCAGTTGGTCTTATAAAATACGTCACATCTACTCAAAGAACTTTGCCTGCCTATGTCCTATGTTACTAAATCCAGTAAACTACGGAAATGCATTTTTGAAATCTTTCTTTTTAATGAATGGACTTGCAGTAAAAGCAGATGGTGTATTATTGATACATTAATGTAAAACTGATATCTGAAGAAAGTCTACCGTGGGGAAGTGTGGCATATATGTCATAGGCCCAGGTATCAGGCAAATTGCCAATGATTAAAGCTACCATATGGCATCTGCATACCATATGCCAATGATTCTGTTACCATATGTTACAGAAACAGCCTAACTGGAAGAAAGGAGGAAAATCTAACAAAAGGCACTAATTAGGGAGGCCCTAATTTTCATGCTAATTAATATGATCAGTTCAGAGAGCAAGAGAGGAACCCTTCAGATATTGGTGCAGCTTTCTCTTCAATGTACCTGTGGACAATCAAAGTGCATAATACCTAAATCCTCACCATCCTTCTAGTTACAACTTGGGGGCAGTGCCTAGTGGAAGCAACACTAGAGCAAGCCTGCCTAGCCTGGCACATCCTGCATAAGGTACCCATCACCAAGGTTAAGTACAGACAGTCAAAAAACCTGAGGCTGAATCAATTCAGTCTTTTCAGGTTAGTTTAAGCTGCAGAGATTGAACCGGCAAGCAAATGAACAGACATTCACTTTTGACTCAGAAAATGCAGGCACATGCCTTCAGTGGCTTAAGCCAGAAGCCGAGGGATACTAGAGCACACATCCCAGCCTGCCAGGTCCAAGGCTTTTCTCCCCTCCCCTCCTCCAGCAGAAGGGGTGTGGTCAAGCCCTCCAGCTATTTCTATGCTGGGGTTTGCCTGGGCAGGGGGAGGGAGCAGTGCCTGCCAGGCTGAGGAGGGGGTGGGTGGTAGTGGCATTGAATTCATAAAAGCTTGGATACAAATAGTCCTTTCTCTGAAGCGAGCATGTATTGTACAGAAGGGTACAACCCTGTGTAGTCCTGCTGGCTGTGATTGCTACAAATCCCAGAGGCACCTGGGAGCAGGAAGAGAAAGTGATGAGGAACCCTGCGAAGTCTTGCTGCTGTGGATCTGGACTGGAAATCCCAGAGACCTCAGGGGCAGCAGGAAGAGAAGTAAACACACAGCCTATGCTGGGACGCTGGGGGTCTGATTTAACTTGAACCAGAAAGGTCTGTGTCGCAGGGCACTAGGGTGTCCTGCTCCTTTGGTGGCTGGAATGAGAGTCAGTTGGGAGGCCCACCTGCTGGTTAACAGGGCTGCCAGGATGAGCTAGTTGGCCCACACCTGCCAGGGGTCAGCTGACCAGAAAGGGCAGGGCCTGGCTCATATATAAACCCCAGAGCTGAAGCCAGGAAGGCAGTTCTCTGCCAGCAGCCAAGGGGGAAGGAGCTCTTCCAGAGGAAGCAAAGGGGAGAGGCCTGACTGCAGGTGCAGCTTCCGGTACTGTTGAGGGACAGAACATGCCCTGTGTGGCTCAAATTATGCTATAGATGGATGGCTTGTGTTACGTTATAGCCCAGGGGCTGAAGTTTTGTTTGCCATTTTATAAGACTGGTGGTTTGGGTGAGACTATTTGGGGAAGGAGGAGGCCTCATTGGGGGCCCACTGCAATGTGGGGACCCCAGCACCCAGCGCCAGAGAGGGTGCGGCATTTGGGGTGCACAGACCCTGGCACCAGAGAGGGTGTGACACTAGGGGCTGCGGAGAGCCCAGGCACCAGTGAGGCACAGAGACAGGGCTGCAGAGAGCCCAGGCACCAGTGAAGCACAGGGACAGGGCTGCGGAAAGCCCAGAGAGGACAAGGGGGCCAATTCATACCAATACCCAAACCAAACAACATCAACAGCAAAGAGGTAGAGCCCTTTTCTCCCCAGCACCACCTGGGGTGACAAGGAACAATGGTAATAAGCTGATGGAGAATAGGTTTAGGTTGGAGATCAGAAGGCAATATTTTACAGTTAGGGTGGCCAAAATCTGGAACCAACTTCCCAGGGAAGTGGTCCTCACCCCTACCTTGGGCAAATTCGAGAGGAGGTTGGATGATCACCTGTCTGGGGTCTTATGAACCCAGCATTCATTCCTGCCTGTGGCAGGGGGTCAGGCTAGATGATCTGTTCAGGGCCCTCTTGACCCTAGCTACTATGAAATTATGAAATGCCATCTGTGAGACTTGGGGTGTGGTAAAGGGATGGCTGGAGCCAAGCATATAGCCCATAAGGTCGGGGTGTCCTGTGACACCCATTTTGAAGTGGGATCCACAAGGGGTCCGGGAACTCACGGGGTTCAGACAGTCCATCAAACCATGTCCAAGAGGACTTCAAGGCAGCCTCCCTATGCTATAAATCGATCAAGACATGGCGGGTGAAAAATGAGGGTGCCCAGTGGGCCAAATAGGCATGGTCGAGGGGCCTTAGGGCTAACACAGCCATCCTTAGGGACCCCATCCCATGACAGTCCGGGACAAGAATGTTATTAATTGGTTTAACCCAAATCTGTTAAGCCTGATACTATATTCAACCAGGTTTATCTTAAACCAATTTTAGCCATTTTGATACTGGTTTATGTGCACTGAGCTTCTGTTCTGTTACAGGTTTAAGCCAGTTTCTGAAGTTCTAAACCAGTTTATGTGTAACTTCTGTCCCTAGCCCAAGAG